TAAATTGCCCTCCAAAAATTCCTAGTGCTTGGGAAACAGAGGCAGATGACTCTCAATGATTTTTGTGGTCAGCATGGTCTACGTAGTGAGTTCTACTTAGTAGCCTGTCTTAAAAAAAAACAAAAATAAGGTGCTGGAAAGATGGCACAACAGTTAAGAGCGCTGGCTGCTCTTGCAGAGAACTTAGGTTCAGTTCCCAGCACCCACATGGCAGCTAACAACTGTCCATAACTCCAGTTCCAGTGGATCCAACATCCTCTTCTGATCTCTGTAGGCATTGAATGACATAGGTGCACTTATGTACATGCAGGCAATATACTCCTACACATAAAAAAATAAAAATAGCAGGCCAGTTGAGCCTACAGGGAGACCTGTCTAAAAATTCAAAAAATAAAATAATTTTTTTAGTACCTTGTATCAACCCTTAACTAATAAAAAGCTTATATTGCTTTTGAAAAATCTTCACTGTTTACCAAAAGAAAGGTCTTTGAGGATAGCTCAGTGGGTAAAGTTTATTTTCTTTCTACATAAACATGAGGAATTGAGTTCAGATCCCCAGCACCTACATTAAAAAGCTAGGCATAGCCAGGACTTGGGAGACAGAGGCAGGAGGGTCTCTGTGAGATTGAGGCCAACATGGTCTACATAGCAAGTTCCAGGTCAGTTAGGGCTACAGGGAGACCTGCCTCAAAAAACAAAACCAACAACAACAGAAAACAGAAAAGCTGAACAGGTGCACCTGAAATCAGGTGGGTCCCTGGGACTCACTTGACCACCCAAGTCTAGCCAAATGGCAAGCTCTAGGGAAGATATCCACCATTGACCTCACCTTCATACAGAAGTGTACATTACATATACATACATCATACACACACATATATAAAGATCTTTTATTTTACTTTTTGTTTTGTGGTGCTTTGGATCAAACCCAGGGCCTCCTGCATGCTAAGTAAGCATTTTACCAACTGAATTACACCCTTAGCCCTTCAATTTTTTCCCCCCGCCTAAATTTGATATGATAATAAATGAAAAGAATAGATATATGGTGGGGTTTTTTTTTGGTACCTGAGAATAAATACTTTCTGTGAATGATTTGTGGAAATATGCCCTCTTGAAGATGACCCACAAACACAGAATCGGTAGGGAATCAGAAGAAAGTGTAGTAGCTCATCCATTAAGAACACTGGCTCCTCTTATACAAGACTTGGGTTCTGTTCTCAGCACCCACATCATGGTTTACAACCATTCTTAACTCCAGTTCCAGGGGATCTGATTCCCTCTTCTGGCCTCTGCAGGCATTGCATGCATGGGTACACTTACATGCAGACAAAATACACACATAAAAAAATAATTAAAAAGCAATTGTAGGGGACTGGAGAGTTGGCTCAGCCATTAGGGGCACTGGCTGCTCTTGCAGAAGACCAAGGTTTGAATCCCAGCACCCACATGGCAGCTAACAACCATCCATAATTCAGTCCCAGGGGATCTGACACCTGGACACCGTGAGTATTGCAGGACACCAGCAAGACACTCATACACATAAAATAAAAATAATAAAATATTTACGATAAGATAAAGCAATTGTAAAATGAAGGGGATGATTAATAATACAAAAGTTAATTATCTCTGATGGAAAGTAAACTGTTATGGGCATCTATATATAACATTTCCAGAATTACAAGAGTAATATTTATTGTGACCATAATAGGTAAAAGAATTTTAATGCCTTCAGAACAGTGTTTTAGGTTTTATTTTTGTGGAATTAATACCCTGATGTTTTACTTTTTGGCTTTTGGGGTAAAGCAAAGAAAGGGAGAAGTGGCTAAGATAGGTGATGAGTGGACTAACTGTACCATTTGTCTCTGTAACCTAATGCTCTTAGTCTTCAGTCAGGCAATAACACAAACTAGTTGATTTCTGCATTTTTTTTCTTTCCCTGCTAGTTTATCTGTTTCCCTAATTTATACTCTATAAATATGGAAATGGACACTTCAGAGACATTGACTGTGTTTTGACCTGACATGATTTCTTTCCTGGAGAATTTCCTTTTAAATTTAAAAAAAAAAAAAAAAATTTTATTTTATGTTTGAGTGTATTGCCTGCATGTATGTAAGCACTCCCATGTCATGCAGTGCCCACGGAGGTCAGAAGAGGGTGTCCGATTCCCCTGGAGCTAGAGTTACAGACAGTTGTCAGCTGCCATGTGGGTACTGGGAATCAAACGTGGGTCTTTTGCAAGAGCAGTGCTCTTAACCACTGAGCCATCTCTCCAGTCCCAAGAATTTCCTTTTTTAATGCTGCCTCTGGCACTTCAGTGCACTGACTAGAAATTTAAGAGATCTTGATTGACTGTTTGAAATGGATCTCTGAATTTTAAAATATACATATTTCCAAGAGAGAACAATTTCTTGCCTATCATAAGAGACTGCTTTCTGAAGGAATTAAATTCCCTTTGAATAAAGGGCATATGGAGAGCAGTTAACCTTAGAGAATTAAAAAGAGCAGCATCATGGAAACATGAATGAAGGTGTTCACGATGGGGAAGACTGAAAAGACTTTCTAGGGTGAAATGTTTGTTTTTAGGTGCTATGATGCCCCCTTATTTCAGGTTAGATTATTACCTTTTTTTTTTAAAAAAAAAAAAAATATCCTTCCTGGCTGCTTGCTTACTTAACCAATATCACTCAGTCCTGAAATAGAACCAGCACTTAGTGTTCATCACCTGCCTTATAGCCAGGCATAGTGGCACATGTCTATCAAGCAGCAGCCAAACGATAACAGGTTCAAGGCCAGCCTGCGCAACATAGTGAGATTCTGTCTCCAAATGCTAGGGATAGGGATAAAGCTCAGTGGCAGAACATGCACAAAGCCCTGGATTGGATCCCCAGCACCAGAACAAACGACAGAGAAACCCAATCCTGCTTTGCAACCTCTGAAAGAAAATCTATATTTAATATTTTAGTTTTGTTTCTAAAAATTATAAAATAATAAGACCTTCCTAGATAATGTAGACAGTCACATTATGGGTATATTCAAAACATGTGAGTATGCTGCTTTTAATGAAAATACAGTACGTATTGTTTTGTGACCTTTTTTTTCACTGCATCATGAACATCTTTCCATGTCATTCAATACAAGTATCCCTTGCTATCTGAATCGATTTGGTTTCTGAGTCAAGGAGCATGAGCTTCAGTAGAAAGGGATACCTGCACTCTGCTACAGCATTTTTTGGGGGGGAGTTGTTTGAGACAGTCTCTCTATAGCCCCAGCTCACTTTGCAAACCAGGTAGGCTGGCCTTGATGTCACAGAGATCCTGCCTCTGCTTCCAGAGTGCTGAGATTAAAGGCATGCTTACACATGCCAGCCTTGCTACAGCTTTTAATAACTGTGTAGTATTGGCAGTATTCATCAGGGTTCTGGTTAACAGAACTGTGAATGTCAAAGTGGGTAACAACCCACTTTTTGCTATAAAAAGACTAGTGTA